TAAATTTATAAATCGTAGTAAAAACAAATGTAAAGCAACATGGTCAGTGATAAAAAATGAAATAACAAATATAAAAATAGATGACGACATTACTGAATTAAATATAAAAAATGAAACAATAACAAACCCTGCTGATATAGCTACTGCCTTTAACGACTACTTTATTAACACGACTGACACTGTATCAATTAACACTCCAAAATTTAAGCAAAAGGGGACAACAATTAATTCAATGTACTTAAAACCAATGACGGTGGAAGAAGTAAAAAAGGAAATTATGAGTCTAAAAAACACAAAAGCCGAAGGATATGACAGTATATCCACTAATATATTAAAAACGTGCGTCACTGAAATAGTCGATATCCTTACATATCTCATAAACTTGTCCTTTTCTGCAGGTATATTTCCAGATAAGTTAAAGCTATCTTTAGTCAAACCACTGTACAAAAAGGGGGATAAAAAACATCCAGCAAACTATCGCCCTATAACATTAATACCGATTCTTTCAAAGTTATTTGAAAAGTGCATGTTAAAAAGGCTTATGAGTTTTTGCTCTAAGTATAATATTATAAAAAAGGAACAATTTGGCTTCCAGAAAGAAAAATCAACAACTTTAGCAGTATTTAACCTAATAAATAAAATATTGACCAGCTTAAATAACAATTATCTAACTACTGTACTCTTTATTGACTTATCAAAGGCATTTGACTTCGTTGCACATAAAACTCTTGTGAGCAAACTGGAATCTCTCGGAATCAGAGGACCCCCATTATTATGGATATCGTCTTATCTAAGTGGGCGTAAACAAAAAGTTGTCCTCAAAAAAATATTTAATAATGAAATTAGTTCTATTTCGTCTGAATATAGAGAATGCAGCACTGGTGTCCCACAAGGAAGCGTACTTGGACCCATTCTATTCATACTTTACATTAATGACATAACAGAAGTAACAAAACATCAATGTACTTTATATGCTGACGATATATCCATAATTATTACATCTAACAAATCTAAAAACAATGTCTCTTTGCATAATCATGAATGTGACATTAATAATACTATTGACATAATAATCAAATGGCTTAAAGCAAATAATTTAAATATTAATCTTGATAAATCATACTATATACAATTCAATAAATCAAAACATAAGCAGCACAATTTTAATCTAAATGTGACAAAGATAAAAAAAGTACAACAATTGAAATTCTTAGGTATAACTATTGACGAGAACTTGAACTGGAAAATACATATAGACCATTTGTGTAACAGAATTAATCAGTTCGTATATGCTCTTAAACGTGTTAGGACCGTAACCGACAAAAAGACCGCTATTATGTCCTATCGCGCCTACATAGAATCGATATTGCGCTACGGCATTTTACTATGGGGCAACAGTACGGACAAAAACAGAGCATTTATAGCTCAAAAAAAATGCATTAGAGCCATATGTGGAGTTTTACCTGACGTTTCCTGTAAACCACTGTATAAAAGTCTAGAATTATTGCCACTACCATCACTTTATATTTATGAAGTTGCGGTTTTTGTACACAAAAACACAGAATTATTTAACAAAGTTAATAATTTTAGATTGAGAGATCCTCACAGATTGATATATAATGACATTCCAAGGTCGGATAAGTATGCAAAAAGTTGCCTCTGTATGGGTGTCAAAATATATAACAAGATTCCTAGAGATATTAAAATGCTCAATATCAATATGTTTAAACATAGGTTGTACAAATGGCTAAGTCAGAATAACTTTTATAGCATAGATTCATTTCTCTGTACCAAAAACTTAACATAGATTAATATAGTTATAAATTCTTATTTTATTCAATTTTTATTCGTGTGACAGTGACATATTTGGTGATAATTATTATATTAATAGTATGAATTGACATGTAATCTCATTATAATATTTTTAAACTCAATGTGTTATTTGCATGCTATTTTCATTATGGCGAAACATATGCGCTCTGTCAAACTTGTATCAGCTTATAATACTATGTTTCTAAGCAAATAAAGAAATTATTATTATTATTATTATTATAGTTCTCTTTTAAAATATTTAAATAAAAATGTCATTAAAATGTAATCGTGATATAATATTATGTAATATTAGATTATATTAGCTCATAATATATGCAAAATAAATGACATATTTAAAAAATTGTATTTGATACAATTTACATAATTAACAATACAATTTAACAATCTATTATTAGATAACTACTGATCATTCTACCTACGTAATATAATCTATAATAAATACCAACCACGCATGCGCCAAACTACTCTTCCCTCCGCATGCGCGAAGACATGAGTAGAGCACATTTTTTGTTTGAAATAGCTGTTCTAGTACGTAAGTACATATTACTTCAATATTCATAACACAGCTTTCACAACACAAAATATGAATATGAAAATATTATTATTTTTAACAATAAGTCTATTCTATATACATATACACAAAAGTTAAATTGAAGTGCCTGTTTGTAATGTCAAAATAACAAGTGCAACCTTACAACAAGCTGCCTAATTGTGTGAAAAAATGTAGCACTATTTCACTTTTCAAAAGACGCCTGTTAAATTACTTATCCTAATTTATACTTGTTTTGGACAGCAGATTGTTTTTTATATTTTGATTATTATGTAACATGTGTAAAGTGACTTACGTCAAGCCTATTTTATTTTATTTTCTTAAAAAAATTGTTGGTATTAATTGGGCGGGTTGGTTGGAATCCAAAGAACTCTACAATTTGTAGTGAACATTTTCTTGAGAGATATATAAAAAGTGCACTTTAATATCTCCTGCGTATTTGGCTTGTTAAGATCATTATGTTTTTAAAATTTATGCAGCTATACAATTATACACTTCTATAATGTGCTAAATTATTCATTACTAGTTGTACCCCGTGACTTCACCCGCGTGTAATTTGGTTTTAATTGTTTTGCGTGGAACCTTAAATCCTTTTCTTAAATAAAAGTAGCCTAAGTTACTCCTTATAATATTAGCTATCTACCAGTGAAACTCCCTTCAAACTCGGTCCAGCCGTTTTGAGATTAGCCGGAACAAACAGACAGACAAAAATTTTAAAAAGTGTGTTTTTGTTATAGGTACCGTATATAATTTCATATGCATTTAGTAAAAAGCTGTTATTTTGACATTACAAACACACTTCAATTTTCTTTATTTGTATAGGTTAAATGTTTTTGTTTTGTAATTATTAAAAGTAATATTTTTATAAAAAAATAAAGCAGCCACTATGTACTCCGTGTCATTGTTTTTTATTTCACCAGCAAAACGTTCTATAAAATATATAACATATAAATAGGTCTATACTTAACTAAGTATCTATTTATTTATATATTTACGTGGTAGAGTCATGCTGCAGCTATATTGTGGTTGCAGCACGAATAGGCGTAAAGACCTAATGCTGCTGTGTTTCGTATGGTGGGTGTAGAGAACCGGAGACTACCCCATATCGTCCCATGAGTGTCGTAAGAGGCGACAGACAGAAAGTGAAACAGGTGATGGGCAGCAGCATATTCCTTATAACAACACAAAATAAAAAAAAAACTGTGGTTGACAACACTCCCGCCAAGCGATGCCAAATATCCCCCCTATGAGGCAATCTATGGGAAGGCCTATGTTGAGCAGTGGATTTTTATAGGCTGTGTTAGATTATGGATAATGATAAAGGCAGGTAGGTGAAGCTTATTTCTGGTAACATGTCATTTGAATATTTTTAAATTATTTTAGAACAATCATGGTACAAATTCAGTTAATTTTCAATAAAATAGTTTAGTGCACGAAAGTTATTCAGTTTTGTGGACTTCACTATTTTTTTAAATCTTTTTATGTACCGCTACCATAACATACATTTTTCGATAGTCCTTTTAAGTAAAATGCACATCACTAGCTAACGCACACAATAACAAATCAAAATTATTCAGGTCTATATGCCAGTATAATATTATATTCTAAGTCTATGAGCAACGTAGAAGTAATTGAAAGTAAAGGCTTTAGAAAGGAGTTGGGGGGGTGACGCGAACTTTAGGCCTAGTCGGTTTGAATAGCTTATCATGTAGAGGATGTCATGGAGGTCACGGTTAAATAGGGGCAAAAAGTTCTTATTACACTCTAGGGAGTCAAAATGGTCAAAAACCAAGAAATTAAAAATTCTTATTTCGGCTATAACTCCACCTCCTTTGTAAGTTCTTACACAGTCTCTACTTCCGCACCCCACTTGTTGGAAGTAAAAACTCTAGAAATGAGTTGGGGGGGGGGGACTCGAACTTTAGGCATAGTCAGTTTGAAGAACCTATCATGTAGAGGATGTCAGTCATGGTTGAATATGGGCAAAAAGTTCTTTTTACACACCTAGGGGGTCAAAATGACCAAAAACGAAAAAAAAAATATTATTTCATCTATAACTCTGCCACCTTCGGAGATTTTTACGCACTTAAACCAGCAGACAGTGTCTGCTGGCTCAAGTGGCCGTCAAAGTCTCCCAAAAACTACGCAATGTGACGCATTAACATATTGTGAAGCAGTACTATAAAGGAATATTTTAATTTGATACAGGATGGCTTAAAGTACAAGCATTGAAGCTAAAAATCGTAATTATTAAAAAAGTTCTGTCATTGTCATTGGGGATGGGCAAGTGAAAAAAGTATATCGATATATATTGTATCTATATTTTTAATCGGTATCGATATATCGTCATGTTTTGCATAATGTACTAGGATAAGGCCCAAAATTTTCATACTGACACTTGGACGACGAAAAAAGCAACAACAAACACCACATGAATGCGCTGCTTTTGTTGCTTACTGTTGTTGTCGATTAATAAAACATTTTAAAATATATCGAAATTTATATGAAATCGATACTCTAAAATAAATATCGGTATATCACGATTAAAAATATCGACGATATATTTATGGAAAGATGACGATATTTCAATATTTTTTACCCAAGCCCAAGCCTAATTGTCGTTTGTCATTATAACTTTTTCTGTTCCTGTAATTCCATTTCCTTTTTTTTAAACATCGGGATGTTAAACTTTAATAGAATAATTTCTAAGTTAAACAAAATGGAACCTATAAATCAACATTTTACAAGCACGAAAAATTTTCATTCAACCAGATTAAAAGGAAAAGTAGCTATAGTTACAGCATCTTCGGAGGGGTACGTAGATTTAATTATAATTTACATGCAGCTGTACAAATTTTTTTTTACAAGTACGTAGATTATTTGAATATGACCGCCTTGTCGAAGCTCAGGAGTTGTGGCTTTTTTACTCATGGTGGACTAAGAAGAACCCATTTGGCTGACTCCAGGTGATGAGCCGGACTGAGGTAACTCCAAGTGAGCTAGGCGAGCTCATTTCGGAATTGTTCCACAGAGTATCACAAAAGGAGGATTAGACACCTTGATTTTGGAGTTTGGTGGCTGTGTTTTCTGACATAATCTCCCTTATTACAACCAAACAGAAAATAATAATATAATAATTTGAAATTAAAAAAAAACAACAATTAAATCATACTGTAAAAAAAATTATTTTGGTTTAAAATCAACATAGTTAAATACCGTTTCGGTACGATACGTGTACACAAAGTTACAATATGCGGAAGCGCGTAATTTTTGAGAAAAAAGTTATTGAAAATCAATTATTCTTGCATTGTATTGTATTGTATAAGCTTTTAAATACCTACGCATACACGCACGTCGGTTAAAGGTACTCTTGCTATGGCCCATTTTTAATATATCGCCAATTTGGTCTATAAACTTTCGCCTAGGGCGACCCTTCCCGACTATGCCGTTCACCTCTGCAACATAGAATAGGAGCGTAGGTATATGGATGTGGGGGAAGCGAGAGAGGTGTGTCAGGATCGTGCCAAATAGAAGTCCATAATCTCTGCCTACCCCTCTGGGTGACGGGCGTGAGTGTTTATGTATGTATGTATCTATGTAAGCTTTTAATTCAGCAGCAATGCTGTGTAGCGCAATTGGGGCAATTTCAATCAGTTCGTTAGCGACTTTCGCGCGCAGCACATGTCACAATGGATACCAATAAAAAATATGAAATTTGGACACTGGTGATAGAAGTGTATAAAGAGCGGCTTCTTCACCCAATATCTCCTTTTTGTCTTTTTTTGCGGTAGCACCGCAGAAAGAACGTTATTTGAACGTCGTAACGTTTCTAAACGTGGTAGAGTCATGCTGCAGCTTTTAAGGACTGTGTTAGGGGTGTAATTATTAATTGATTACATGTTTTATCAATAAATATGGTTGTCTATAGGCCACAGTATCCACTTAACATCAGGTGGACTGTGCTCATTTGTCACCCTTATTTTATATAAATAAAGAGCCAAAGCCTATATTTACCGATTCATGTGAAGTTTATTTTGTGATTATTATTTATTCTTTTTTTTTCTTCATTCATTTGAAGTATCGGTCATTCCCAACACAAGTATCCTTTGATTACTTACTGGGAAGTCTCAGTATTATGTTGTTAACAAAATTACCGAAATAAACGTATTAAATTTTGATAAAATTGGCACCATTCTCAACGCGTGTGTCCAACGAGATGTACACTCTCGCATAGAATCGCAGGCATGTGTGTAGAGACAGTTCTAATATCGCCCCGATTGCTGTTCGTTCTAGATTGCCCCTGCGGCACGCAAATGAGTGGCCGCCTTAAGACCGAGACAGACCAGACGATTTTTTTTAGTTACACACGCCACCAACAGGTTTATATTTTAGTTTTTCTGATTTGGAAGTTATAATATTAATAGTGATATATAAGTATACCTTTATTACAATTGACTGGTTATCATTGATTCAATGTTTTATGAAAATACATCGATACATCGAGTATATCAATAGCTTTCCAAAACATCGGATCGATTTGATGCATTGTATTGTAAACATCGAATGAATTCGATGCATCGATGTATATCGAATATCTCTACTCACTCAGTCGAGTCGAATATTTCACCGAGTGAATGTGTATTGTTGTGTGGTGTTAACAATGGACCTCACAGAATATCAGCGTGAAGTGGAAGTTCTGCTTCTGCATTTAATCTGGCAAAATTCCGCTCAAGACAATAACTGCTCGGGGCAAGCTGAGCAACAAGGCCAAGGCGAGCCCAGCCACGCTATCCGTAAATTTCTGCAACGTCAGGGGACTTCTCTTGAACCTAAATGCTGTCCACTACCATCTCGAGATGGCGAAGCCGGCCTTGCTCTTACTGACCGAAACACAGACATCTTCTCCAGCTGATACTTCCGGGGTACAAATTGGAGCACTCCTTTGTGCCTCGGGCTGGAGTTTGCGTATACATCAGAGAGGACATCTGTTCTCGACACCTCGGCAGTCTTGAAGGTTCGTTCCTGTCCAGCCTTTGGCTACGCTTAGAGAGCGACGACCATCACGCGTCTACGATTGCCTCTATAGGTCCCATAGCGGCAATGCCGCAACAGACCGATTCATCGAACACGTCCAAACGGCTATAGAGATTCCTTGCTACAGCAGATCCCATCCGTAGAGATCGTGATCCTCGGTGATTGTAACGCCCACCACGCCAAATGGCTCGGTTAACGTTTAACCGATCATGCGGGAAGATCTGTTCCTGTTTTTGTCTTTTTATATGGTCTGACACAACTGGTTACTTCGTTTACGCGGATTCCAGATGTGGATGATCATGCGCCTTCCCTGTTGGACCTTCTGCTGACATCTCATCCAGACAGATATCAGGTCTCCGCCGATGCCCCTCTTGGCTCCTTGGACCATTGTCTAGTCTGTACTCTGTAGTGTGGTGTCATTCACTACTACACTGTCAGACACTAACATCGCGGTTGCATTCTGCAGGCTGTCGTTGTGTTTGGCACTATAGGTCGCCGATTGGTATAGGATGCGGTCCTTCTTTGCACTTTACCCTTGTGCATTTTTGTGGGTTTTCTTCTTGCCGAACGATCCCAACGTTGTTGCTAATTCTGACGCTGATGTGGTACTTCAGGCTATGGAACTTTTTATTCCTTCCTCTGTGGTGCCCATCGGAGGCAGATCTCAGCCATAATTTGGTCGCTCCTGTAAAATAGGATCACGCTATAAGCAGGAGTAATATAGGGCCTGGGCTGACGATCCGCCTCCAGGTCCTTCAAAAGAGTCATTGCCAAGGCAAAGTCAGAGCACACAACAGAATTGTCGAGAAACTAGTTCGCCCTCCTTCGAGAACCCGTGCATTCTGGTCTCTCGTCAAGGCTGTCCAAGGAAACTTTTGTCAGCCATCTCTTTCATCTCTGCACAGGGAGGACGAGTCACTGGCCCATGCCGCAAAGGAGAAAGCCGATCTGCTAGGCTCTTTCTTTGCGTCCAACTCGACTCACGATGACGGGGGAGCACACCGCCGACCATCTCGTGGTATGAATGCTCCATACCGGATGTGCAGTTCACACAGCCCTCGGTTCAAATTCAAATTCATTTAATTTCAGACAACAAAGATCCATGGATAGTATTACATTATCGCTTATAAACTAAGTGTTAGTAAGTACTTATAAAATTTTTAATTAAATTATATTGTATTATATTAGAATTAAATTACATCAAACTAAAATCGTATTAATTCAAATTAAATCAAAATAAAATTAGATTAAATTCTACTTTGTCATGTACCTGAGAGGCACTCCGTGCGGTCGACACCTAGAAGAATTACCATCCACTGTATGAGTCATCGTTCGCACGAAGTGCCTCACAATAGGAGCATGCGGATCATCTGCCACCGTTCACAGGATGCTGTTGTCACTTCTCCGTATCCTTCCTATCAGCGACGCTACTTTTTTCCGAACTACGGCATGAAAACCATCAGTTCTGGTCTGTGCAAACATGCCAGAAGCACTACAGAAGCGGGGGAGTGCCAACATCATCCTGAAAACGTTATTGTACTGGACTCGCAGGGTGTTTAACGATTTTTTGGCATACCTAATCCACAGACCACCCGTGTACAGACTCTGGCAATACGCTTTAAATAATGTTATCTTGACCTAGACCGAACAGTGGGCAAATCTACGAGCCAGCATATTGCCGCGCACCGCCAAAGCCCTACGCTCCCTCTCTATATCTAGATCATCCTTAAGGTCATCGGCAAGAATATGCCCTAGGTATTTAAACTGATAAACCCGCTTTAGTTCCGATCCATTTAAGTTTATTGCAGGGATAGATTCCGGACACCTGCCGGCGACCCTAAAGACCATGTATTCACTTTTTTCAATGTTGTATACGAAACCATGCGAGGCAGCGTAAGTCTCGCAGACCTTCAACATCTCTCTTATCGCATTCAAAGTGGGACTCAGCAACACCATGTCATCTGCATAGTTGATGCTATTGATACGCATGCTGCTGAGCTCCACCAAGAGATAGTTAACATACAGGTTGAAGAACTTCGGAGACGATAACCCTCCCTGCCTCACTCCGCACTCCAATCTGTACGACTCGGAGAGACTATTTGACCATTTAACATGATTGATCTGATTTGCATACCAATACCGAAAGATATTGATCATCTCTGCTGGAATACCCCTGTCCTCCATCTTCCTCCAAAGTACATCATATGAGACGAGATCGAAGGCTTTGGAGAGGTCCAGAAAACAGGCGTAAACAGGAGTCCTCCGGTCTGTGTAATATTGCACAGTATGCTTGAGGCTCAAAATATCGCTTTCAGTCGATAGTCCGGGCCGGAAACCGAACTGCGCATCATGTAGTTGTAAGTAATTTTGTAAGCAAGAGTCAAGCAGACTATCCAATATCTTAGCTATCATAGTAGCGAGGGAGATTGGGCGATAGTTTCTCTTATCTATTATTTAATATCTTATATTAAAATGCACTCCTCTCTTTGGATATTCACAAGTCGAGTGGGACTGAAAATCCCTCCAATTGAGCTGATGACGTGTGATCTTGAGTTGGCACCGGTTCTAACGTGTCCTTTCCGGTATTCCTACTCCCTAGTCTCGAATTCACCGAAGACGGCTTTCGTCCACCCGATCCCTAAAAAAGGCGACCGCTCAGACCCGTTTAAGTACAAGCCTATCGCCATCACCTCCTTGTTCTCCAAAATATTGGAATCCATTATAAACTGCCAGCTCGTACGGTACCTTGAGGACCACCAGCTGATTAGTGACCGCCAATA